TGTATATTTGGCTTCAGTACGAGCTCGTTGTCTGTTAAAAACGTGAGGAAACAGCGTAACATTTATTTCACAATTAATACTTCAAGAAAGTGTTTAATTAAAAATCATACTAGATGTATTGGTTCTTAATTCTCTAGGTCCCAGGAGTGGCAAGCATATATAGAGAGCCTGTTGTTGCAATGAAAGCTCAAAGTATCTATATTAAATGGGAATTATCTGGTTCAATACTCATTAATTCCCTTTGTGGATGTTAAGATTTTCTGTTAAGCATTTTTTAAATATATAGTCCACATATGCAGAAATGGTTTTTACAGCTTAAGGCTGTGAGCAATTGATATGTTTTTTCTGGGGCTGGGGGAGGAAAGGGAAAGGTTGATGGTGAAGCCAAAATCCCTTGCCTCAAGGACTAGGTGTATAACAACACATTTTGATTGTCAGGTAAGCAGCCTACCAAAAAGGCAGCAAAATATCTGGGTTTAGCCTACCTTCCTTCCTCTTAGAGCATTTCTACTGCAAGCAGCATATTTAACTATTTAGCAGTTACTTGTGCTAAACTTTGAGATGAGACTCAGGTTTCTGTCCTCACTCCCATGAATGCTGAGACACATCCACACAACAGAAAGCATCAGCAGGAGAGATCAAGAATATCTCATGCCAAAATACCTTACACTGGTAGGCAGGGTACTAGTCTAGGATCCAGAAGAAGTTTCCCAGGAAGAGGTAACTTAATGCAGTCTCCAGCTTCATCTCTACATCTCAGCACTCCAAGATTTAGACAGCCTCTTAGCTTGAATGTGGAGCCAAACATGATTGAGGTTTCAGGCTATGCTGGATCAGCACTAGATGCCTTGCGCAGCCTTACCCCACAATTACCTTAATTGAAATTGGCTTCCAGTCTTACAGGTCCTGATGCATGCCTGCTGTCCCAGTAATTAAAAGCCCACTGTTCACTTCCCAGACTGCTCCCAAAATCACAAACATCAGCTTTTCCATATGTCCCAGTAGTGTGACATCACTACGTTGCATCAGACCTGTCTCTCAATCAGAATAGGGGAAAACAGCTCTTTAGCTTTATCTTTCCTGTCTAATTTTTGACCTGTAATACCAAACACAAGGGAGGATAACACTTCCTAATCTCGGCAGGTTGGATTGTAATCCTTCTACTCCACCACCAACCCATCCTGTGAACAGTCCTAGAGTGACCAAAACTCATGGGTTTTTTTTATCACCAGTCTCCATTCCAAAATGTCACATAGTTCCAATTGTGCTGAATTTGGACAAACATTACCTTTTTCCACTATCACCCACAGACCACAATACAAGCAGCTGCATACTGTAAAAGTGTGATTTTTTTAAAGCAATTCTTAGAGATGTCCAACAATTTTCAAAAGGTTAGGAGGAGGCATTACTGATGCTTCTTCACTTTACTGTATGTCATGTATGTTATCAAATCTGCACAGACATCAATTTTGAGTTACAGTGTTGACTTTTCCATTTCACTCTGCATGCACCCCCTCGTCCTAAGACCTCTTGACAAATGCAGTTGAATTGAGGAGGCAGCTGTATCTTTAACATTTTCAGTCTGGCTGCTAGAACAGAAACAGACTTCAAAGACTAGCCAAATTCTGGACTCTTAAAATTCAGTAATAAGATCACACAGGTTTTGATCAACCAGGCATCTCACTCCTAATTAAAGCTTATTGCCCAGTCCTGCTTTAACTGAAAAGAAGTAATTTCAGAAAATGTATTATCCCATTATGGTAATACAGAACAAGTAGATGATTTATTACCAAACCTCTCTCCCCAAACTCATTCTCCAGTAAACTTTTAACAGTTGTTCACTACAGAGGAATACCTGGTATGCCTTAGTCAATTATTTAGCTTAGCATTTGAGAAGTGATTGCTAAAAACTGTTTGAGAGGGGAAAAAAACCCCACAAGACTGTGGAAGACAAAGGTCTGACAATTCAATCACTAGAATCATTTTGTCTTGAACTTCACCAAGCAGTATTAACCACAGCCAGCAAAACCTGATGTTGATTTTCTTGTACCTTTAGGTAAAACTGAGCACTCCTGCAATTTAGCTCAATGTTGCCCCATCCTTCCCTGAATGGAGCCTGTTCCTTGGTTTCTGGACCGATTACGTGTTATGTGAAAAGCTGTCTCTTGTGCTAGGTTCATGTTTTCCACCCTTCAGTAAAGTTCTTCAGCTGTACAATAAAAGCCATAGAAATGCTGCCTCAGCCTGTCATTAATTTACGTATTTCTAACACTTCTTAATAATCTAAAATTCATGTTTTTCCCAAAAATGCTCTTCGAATACATTTTCTTCAATCTTTATTTCTCCCTTCTCTGAATCTTCTTAGACTAGCTTTGAAATCATTCCAGAGAACTTGCCACCAGAAACACAGTAGTTCTGCTATGCTCCATTCCGTTCTCAATAATCCCATCCATTTTTCTGACTGTAACTTTATAGAGCATTCCCCTACATACAGTGACAGTTCTGAACTTACACATATCAAATCTCAGGTATTTGCAAGGAAATACTGCATTTATTTATCTTGACACTTTACCAAAGTTGGCTACTCCACCATGCCCAAACCTTATCAGGTCCAGCTGTCACTGTTGGTAGCATCCCCTCTACCTCACCAACCTAAGGAAATATACTGGAGAACTTCACAAGTCGTTCTGTGCCAGCAGAAAGCCTGATACAAACCACCAGCGCTCATCTTTTCAATTATACAATTTCTCTGTACTTTTTTGTCCCTCAGACACTTTCCCATGTCCAACAGTCTCATTCGGAAAGCTTGAAAAAAAATTAAAACCTCAAATATAATTAATTCAATCAGTTCTTTATTCATATCCTTACTGAGTATTAGATATAAGCAATGGAATAGAAGAACAACTTTCCCCTGCAGAAGTCAGTCTTGCCTACTGCTATATAAGCTGTTTCCTTGTTTGGTTTTGGTTGGTTGTTCTTTTGGTTTTGTTTTTGTTTTGGGTTTTTTTTGTTTGTTTTGTTTTTTTTAAATTCTACTTTTACCTATCATAGAATCACAGAATGGTTTTGGTTGGAAGGGACCTTAAAGACCACCTGGTTCCAACCCCCTGCCATGGGCAGGGATACCCTCCACTAGACCAGGCTGCTCTGAGTCCCATCCAGCTTGGCCCTGAGCACTGCCAGGGATGGGGCAGCCAAAACTTCTCTGGGCAACCTGTGCCAGTGCCTCACCACCCTCACAAAGAAGAATTTATTCCTACGATCTAATCTGTGTCTACCCTCTTCTAGTTTAAAGCCATTATACTCTGAAGTACATCACAAGAAGCCTTTTTAACAAGTACAGTAGAAGATGCTCCCTTGAAATCCTTTCAGAGCGGACTCCTTAAAAATGCAAATTTACAGGTTCATGCTACTGAGGTGGCCACTTTTTTCCTAAAGCTCTTGAGAACACTCCAGTTCATTCCAGTCAGGGTGGTGGGTGACTTATGTCAGTTGGCTCCAGCAACTCTTTTGACATGCCAAAAGTCCATTAGCTTCAGCAGCTAAGAGAGCTGACTGGTTACCTTCCCATCATTCCTTGGACTGAACACTAAAGAATAGAAGCTTTCATGCTTTAACACTTTCATCTTAATTTTTCTTTAAATCCCAAATTACATAGCAGGCACATTCCTCCTTGGGCTTCTCATAAACTGCCACAACTGAGTTTACATAGCTTTAGATATTCACCTGAAAACAAAGTATTTAGGATGCTAACACGTTATTTGTGGCCATTGACGCTCCTTGCACTTGAAGGTTTGGTTGGGAGGAAGCAGGAATTTTATTTTCAGAAATCTTTAACAGTCTTTAGATTAATTAAACTCTTAAACATCACAGATAAGTGACATGCTTCATAAATTACTCACCTTGTCCACAAACATGCATATATGAACTCAACATACAATACAGAGCTCTGAAGTCCACGGATGCATTAATCTCAGCATTCGCTGAGTTACTATGTCAAATGCCAAGATGATGGATGTTTGTCTCATGTCCCGTACATCCAAAGTTCACATCCATCCATCCGTTTGATGCTAATGAATCACTATTGCTGCTCAGATACGCGAACATAAACCCACAGAGCCTGCATGAGAGAGACTCCATTTCACATTAACCTACTGGTTAATGGATAAAATTGGAGAAAGCTGGGCAGAGCAAACAGTCCTTCTTGGGTAGAGACTAAATGACTAAAAGGTTCACAAGTTAAAAACAGAAAAAGGAATTAAGCATTTGCGTGGAATTCCAAATTCTTTAGAATAACCTAGTAACAAATTACTAAAACCACCTAGAAAAACTACTCGAGAATAAATTTTTCAGTCCATCCACAGTTATGCTTCCCATCTCCTTCAGAATCCACTTCCTGCTTTGATCCAAAGGTGGAGGCAGCAAAAACACTGAGCAAGTAAAGTCGCATTTGCTTTCCCATAATTCCAAAGAAACAGTCACTCTTCCAATTAGCTAACTGAAGCCAGCCTGTACCCTTGTTTTTCCACAGCTTACACCTTAGACAGTGAAAGTCAAATTAAGTGACAACTGCAAAGAACCCCCAAACATTACATCTAGTTGTGGAGAACACAGTGACAACAGAGGTGAATGTGAAAGTAAGGATCATTTCCAGCTACTACAGACTCCCAGAGCAGCCCTCAGTTCATTCAAGGCACTCTGTATGCTCACCCTGTGAAGCCCTAGAGTCCCGGCTGTTGCAAAGTGCTTGGGCAGAAGCCTCACCTCTTCACCTCACCGACTGAAGTCTGAAACAGTCTCTGTTGTTTACTGACTGCAACAGTTATCTGTGTACTACAGTTTCATCAATGAATCAGTGTGTGTCTACGCATCTAGGAAAAATAACATATACACATTTGCTTAGCACACAAATATCAGTTATATTTGCAAATATGCCTACCAGATGCCTGCAGTGTATAAACATGAGACTTTCTTATTTCCTATGTACACAAAGGCCAGAGTCAAAGTTAATTTTCACCTTTAATAAGCTCATGATCCTCTGTTATTTAATACTCTGTAAAAAGGTATTACAGATTGATAGATTATTGCAGTGATTTCTAAAGAACAAGGACAGCCATGAGGCTGAAACTACAATATCATATATATTATGTAGTCATTGATATTATCTTCTACAGCATGAAGAAAAGTACTTTAAAAATAAACAATTATTAACCAAAACATAGAAATGGAGCTTTCTTTCTTACAGTATGGCTGCATATCTATATTTCAAGAATAACATTTTAAAAAATGCTAGATCTTGAAAGGTCATAGATAAAAAGAGTCATGATGAAGATGAACCAGTTTTGCCCAGAAATGGTTTAATGAGCACACTGCAGAGTTTTTCAGCAAATCCTAGTTTTGCCAAGCTTCAAGAGGCAAAAGCCTGAAATGTAAAAGCTTCCACGTTGTCTAGACAGTCCATTCATCCTGCTCTGGAAGGCCCAGTGAACCCCTCTGCTTTAAGAGAGCATGTCACCACAACTGGTCTTCACTGACATGGATGCCACCAGGAAGAGACTATTCAGGTCCTTACGACGCCAGGCCCAACAAAAAGCCTCCAACAAACCCACTGGACACCACAATGTTCTGTTTGATAAATTCTGTTGACTGAAAAGAAAGATAATATTTGTAAAGAGCCAAGTTAATTAAAATACTGAAATTGGGGAGGGACTAGAGGGAAAGGCTTAGGGTTAGGGAAACAGTATGTTTAAAAACACACAAAGCTTGGTGGCGACTGCTGGCAGCAATGGAATGAAAACTGACTCTTATCCATCTCTAACAATACATATAATATATAGCTAGCATTTTGAAAGTCAAAATACAGAGGAATTGTCATAGCAATTTCATGCCAACACCACCCTTGTTTTGATTAAAACAAGAGAGATGCTTTGCAAACTCCCTTGGCAAAAAAGCATGAGCACCACCATGACTGCCATTTTAATCGTGACTTCATTTTAATCTAGTCTTTTTTGGAAGACTAGATTATTGGAAAAGAAACACACCTCACTCCATTATAAGCCAGCTTCCTAACAACATAATCCTATGAAGTACACTTATGTATGACAACATTTGTGTAAAATATGTCATGAAATAACAGCACAGAATATAACACATTACATCAAACATGTGGTATTTCATATATCCTCCACTGCAAACGCTTTGGATTGGCTAATAATATGCAATTAGAAGAAAGTAATACAATGTAAGGTCAGGGAAAAATAAAAAATTTCCATCCTGTCCCACCCATTTCTGCAGGGTGATGGAGAAGGACCAGTTAAGCTATTTAGGGTATAGAAGCAGCAAAAAAACCCACCTTTCTTGAACTTCTACTTCACATTCACATTAAAATTCACAGTAAGTTTTACCAACCTGTATGTAACTCCATACAGTTTAAACCTGAGATGTTGGAACTCCTAATTACAGTGTGCTAGCATGGCTCCTGTTACATTGTCTGTAGCATATTCTAAGTCAGGATTTACAGTTACTGAGAAAGAAACTTGGATTACTTGTACAAAATGTGAAAATAAGTTAAAACAGGCTAAGCACACTTTTTAAAAAAGACAGAAAAAGATAAAATGATTAAAGTCTTCAAATGACAGAATGAAATAGCCCCAGTGACACTGATCAGTATCAGAAGCTATCTTTTCAACATGGTATGTAACTGACAGATTCTGAAGACAGATATTCTTTGAACTGTACAAAAATGAGATTAAAAACCACAACTCTACTTACAAAGTAGTTAGAGCTTTACTCCAGAAAGAACGGTCAGTCTTTTCCAACCAAGTAATTCTGTTATCAGCAGTCTAAGATGATGTGTTTTTTGTCTTTGTAGCTGCCATGTTTTAGCCACAACACCCTCAACTTTTTACCATGTCATGATTTTACTGGCTTTCTTACTAGCCCAGACTCCAGAGGGACTAAATAGCAAAGCCAACGGCAGTCCCTAAGCTGTATCAGCTGTAGAAACACTTTGAGGGCTTTGTGTCATTTTTAAGTAAGAATAAAACAGAAAACTAAGTTAACTTTTAATAAAGTATAAAGCCAGACCATCTCTGTTGCCTCCCAGTTTTGCACCTGCAATTTCAATTAATCACCACCTCTAGCAGAAGGTAAGAAAAACTGGCTGGTAGAAAACAGGTTTTCACCTCAGACTCACCTCTTCAATTAGAGTATTGATTTCAGGTGCTGCCTTATTTGCACGCTTTTTTAACTGCTTTTTTGCTTTGTTTACATCTTTTTCAACTCTCTTCCAGTCAACTTGTACGTATCCACTATGACTAGCAATCTAGGAAAATAAAGGGTATTTAGTACGATTCTACGATTCTAGTTAGCATTTAATGAGTCAAAATACAGTATCTTAGTGTCTACAAAGGTTTTTTAAATACTGCTCCAATTACAGCAGGTACTCTGCTTCAAACAGTAATATTTTCCACAGTAACAACAGTTCAAATTAGAACAATCAATGGCAAAGTTCACTAGACTCTCTTGTTGCCAGTTCTCTCTAGTTATAAAAACTTTAACAATGTTTTTCCTTCAGCATTTACTGTAACTTTAATTGTAAGAAAGGTGCTTTCTCAGGACAACAATGAAAGAACTGTTTCGTTTCAGCTTCTTTCAGAACTGTGGAATTCTTACTTGTGACCAGCTATCTGGGGCTAATCAGACTCATCTAAGAAATACTGAAAACTGTACTACTTTATCCTACATCATTTAAACTGTCCAACAAAAAAAAGTATTTGATGCAAGAGAAATCTCACACTTTCTACAAAACAAAGCCAGCAAGTAGGAAAAAAAGCACGGCCTGTGAACAAGTTCTGTAACATCAGCAAAATGGATAACTTTTGAGGGATATTTTATGCCAATTCACACTCAAACTCCCCAAATGCTTAAACAACATCTATGACACTTTTAGTACATTAACCATCATCCCCTTTGCCTTATTTCTCTTATGAAGATTTGATCTGGGAACAAAGATAGATGTTCTGTACTTGACCAACACTGACAGTTCCACCAATTTTCTTAAGCCAAGTTACAGAAGAAATGCATGTTTAAATAAAACATACCTTAAGAAAAGTATCAAAATCAGGCAATTATGCATGCTTTAGAGAACAGCTAAACACTCATTAATTGGAAAAAAAAAAGAGGGGAAAAATAAATTCAAAGATTACTGCTTATTTTAACTACTAGGACAAACAGATATAGACCACTAACGACAGATAAATGACCGTTATACAAAACACTGTTTATGAAGCGTGAGATGTCTCAGGTCCTCCTTCAGGTCCTGTTTGGCAAATTCACGTGAAACTTGCGTCACAGAGTTCTATGCAAATGGTACAACTGGTAAATACAAGTCACACATAATGACCTTCTGTGGAACTTTAAATATTTATCTATATATTTAATAATAAATAAATAACAATATTTGATAATAGAAATAATAATATATTTACTAATATATAAACAAGATATATTTGATTATGCAATTTATTAGGTTTGGCATAAAAAGGAATGTTTCACATTGCTTACAGGCACTGAATTTTGACTTTCAAATAGTTTTTTCTACCAAATAACTGGAAGTAGACTATCTATCTTATTTTACAAACAGCCAAAATACTTAAGCAATGTATTTCACCACAAATTAGAATTTCATGATCCTGAAAAAAACTAAAATGAAACAAGTGTCACACAGATTTTGGCTGAATTCAAAACAAAGCTCCTAAAAAAAAAAAAAACAAACATCAATGCAGGAATACTAGAAATATGTACATCTTTCTCTACACAAATCAAAGAACACAAAGAATCTAAAAGGGAAGACCTCATTTTGGGAGTACTTTGTAACTGTGAAACATTAAGAGTAATGAGTAACAAATGTTCAAGAGTAAAAATTTATATGGCAAGATGGGACAAAAGACTTTTAAATTTGTCAAAGGCAAAATCTTTCAATATCAAATAGCCCAACAAACCCAAAGGTATGTGTGAGCTCCCTGTGCTCAACTGCTTACACAGCACACAGAAGCCATGTATGCTTTTAAGGTATTTTCTGTTATTTAGACAGGTAGCAATTCCCATCACACTCAACCAGTTTCCAGAACTGATCTGACAAGTTTCTATGTAAATATACAAAGATAAGGAGGGACCGAGAAATAATACAACACTTTTTGTAAGAGTGTCGTGGTTTAAGCCCAGCCAGTAACTCAGAACCACACAGCTGCTGGCTCATTCTCCCTGCTCCTGGAGAGATGGGGAGGAGAATCAAAAGAATGTAACTCCCACAGGTTGAGATAAGAACAGTTCAGTAACTGAGGTATAACACAAATCACTACTGCTACCACCAATAACAACATTGATAAGGGAAATAACAAGGGAAGAGAATACAACCACTCACCACCCGCTGACCGATAACCAGCCCGACCCAAGCAGCGATCTAGGCCTTTCCAGGTAACAGTTTATATACTGGGCATGACGTGCTGTGGTATGGAATACCCGTTTTGCTAGTTTGGGTCAGGTGTCCTGTCTCTTTTTCCTCCCAGCTACCCCTCTTCCCTGGCAGAGCATGAGACTGAGAAAGTCCTTGATTGGAGTAATCATTACTTAGCAACAACTAAAAACATCGGCGTTATCAACATTGTTCCCAGGCTGAAAGTCAAAAACACAGCACTGCACCAGCTACTAAGAAGGAGAAAAATGACTGCTACTGCTGAATCCAGGACAAAGCGTTAAATGGTAGAGGCTGTATCTTCTGTCATCATCTGCTGACATACTACTCCAAAGGCAGAAAACCCATGCCCCTCCATTTCATGTCAAAACCTGCCAGAAATAGAAAGCTAACTTTCCAACTACCATTTGCTCTGGCATTCCGTTAAATGTTTCCTCAAAGTATGCACACATCAACTGTCAAATGGGATATTCAATGCAAAACTGAGTACAACTCTTTCTTAGGAGCTCCCTACCCTCAGAAGCACGTTGTGCTCTCCCCACTTGACTGAGATGCCACATCATCATTGTAGCATGGTATCAATGAACACCCGTACAAAACATAGCTAAGGATGTCTCAAGAGTTTATTTTGTTTCTTTTTTTTGGGGGGGGGGGGGGGGGGGAAGTGGGGGAGTGGTTTGGTTTTTTTTTCTCCCCCAAAGATTTACTTTTACTTTTCATAAATTAGAAAATAATTTACAGAAGAACTGAATTCATCAATGTCATATTAATGGCATGAGGCAAAATATTTCATGAAAGCAGAAATAACCAAGTAAAAATATTAATTTATGGGTAAGTAACAGTCAACACACAAAGAGAAAACCTGCAATTTGTATGTTGACTGCAGAACAAACAGCAAGGAAACCATTATTAAAAATAAAGAAGCTTAAAACCACAGGGAGAACAGGCACTCATTAATTGTTTCTAGCTAATTCATTGTAGCAGAACCATATGAGCTCATACTTCCTTACTCTGGGATTTCACCAAACTGTGCTCTATGAAGTAAAAGTTATATAAGGAAAATCCATCACTTGTTGTGAGAAATTAATTACAATTTCCTCAATGTAGTGCATGGCTACTGGGTCTTACACCAACACGTTTGAAGAGCTACATCTATTTCAATTAAAAAAAAAAGACAGTTAACCGATCAAATAAGATGACAAAATACCCAGCTCAAAGATGGGATAACTAATCTTAATTTTTAAGAACTATGCAAATTTGTAATGTCATTTTTTTCTGTTCCTCAGACTAGTTTTCATTTCATCTGTATTAAAACAGAAAAACTTTATACCACTTACAAAATTGGAAAAAAATCTTTTTCCCTTTTTTGTACAAACTGACACTCCAAAAATGCATTGCTTTCAGTTTCCTACTATATTTCTTGAGATGAAGTCATCACATATTGAAGAAAAAGATGTCCTTTCTTTTTTTAATTTTGAGAACTGAAGTGTTTCACTGAACAGGCTGTAGCTAAGAATCTTCCCTTCTGTAGTTCTTCTTGTTTTAGCGCCTAATTACAATGTCAATATTGCCATCACCAGTTGAAATGGAATCTGCAACTTCAGAGAAATTTACAGATAAAAAACTTTCTAGTCATGTGCTGAAACACTCCTCTGCCCACTCAGGGAAAACGCGGAACATTTATTCATAGGGAAATTAAAATCACAATGTGTGATCTTTAAATGAAAAAATTAGAGACTACAGAAATGTAATTACACTACAGAATTTATGACTCAGCTTTAAAATGCAAAACGTTTTGAATCAAAAAGAAAGACCAAGGCATTTACTTCATTCCTTTCCAACAGAATCTGATCTTACTTAATTAAAGATATAGACAACTCAATCAAAATATGCAGCTCATTTTTCCTCTTGGATAATATTGCTTTTCAGATACACTGTAAATGAGATCGACCAAGAAATCAGGCACTCAAACACATGGCATATCTATTTTGTGTACAAGAAAGGTCCCCAAACTTTACAGCTCAACGAGTGAAAATATTGCACAAATAATGTGTTTTAAGCAATTTTCTTTTTTTATAGGCCTCAGTTTTAGCCTTCTAGTTTCCTGTAGTCAGAAGTACTAAAGAAGGCACCTGCAGATAACATGCTGCCTGCCATCCCTGGATGCCAGGCTTCTGTTCCCTAGGCTCTTCAGTTGTATTTACATAAGAATTGTCACGAAAATAATTAAGACCAGTGGCTTACAAAATGGTAAGAGTGATTCAGATCTTCAAGTCAGCTAGATGAAAAGGATGACGAGTACTTCAAGATCCACTGCATATATATACATATGTGTGTGTGTATTATATTAACTATATAAATATATATAAAGATTTACTTCTTTCCTCATGACCCAGAAATACACATCATAAGCTAAAAAAGTCCAGAGTTCTCCATAACAATGATTCATTTGCTGCCATAGCATATTTTGCCAAAAATTTTTATCTGGGTAAGTCTAAACCATTTCAGATTCGACACTCTTGTAAAATTCATCCATATGTTTAGGTACAAGCCAAATAACCAGTGATTTCCAGGAGATTCAAAAAGGTCATCAGCGCACAATGGTGAAGTAGAATTAATGCTAATACTACAAAACTTCATATCAAGACTATTTTTCCTTGACTTTTTACGTTGTTGTTGATGCTTGCTTTTGTGCAATTCAAAATAAAATACACTTTATATTTATTTAAAGCAACTTAAACCAAATGGTTCCAAGAGCATACATTCTCACATAGAATGTTCCAGTTCAGTTATATGTTTAGCATGTGGTTTTAAAAAACCAAACCAGTAGAAAACACCATCATGAAGGAAGTAAGAGTACTTCAAACACCTGTGACACCTAGGTGCATTGTACAGCAGCAATCAGAGGTAATCCCCAAGACTTCCTGATCAACGGTTGACTGCAAGAGCTATTACAATCAAAGGAGTAACTAAAAGTGGGATATGCCTTTCAGAAATCCTCCAGGGTGATGTTGGAAAGAATTAATATGTATCTTTTAACATCCTGCCTCAAAAAAGCTGTGTGTTATTGAACCTAAGCAGGCACCAGTTTATTTCCTCTAGAATGATCTGAGTAAAAATGACAGGCTTACAGGTATTAAGGTATTAAAAACACCAGTAAAAGCCATTAAGAATTACTTGGCCTCTTACAGAAGGATATATGAAATTCTCCTTCACTTAAAGTTTTGTCATCTAATTTGCAGCCTTTTTGGAAATATGTCCTGCCCTAACCACAGTATCTGATGAAAAATGCAAATGGTCATGCCAGATAACATCATTAAAGAGTTTTGGACTTGAAACGTAATTGAACAGAGGAATGCAATGAAGCTATCAGAAATCAGCAAACCTTCAGAGGCTCAACACATATAACTAGTAAATACAGCATGGGGAGAAAAGAGAAAAACAGTGCTTCAAAACAGGACCCGAGCAAGCCTTCCAAGCAACTGCAAAAAAAATCTACTCCTTCTAAAGCACCAATAAAATTCTCATATCTATTTAAAATAAACACAGCTTAAATTACTTGATCTCCCATAGGTTTACAGGCAGCCTCTCTAATCTGGCAATACTGAATCACACACAGCATCTCAGTTTCTGCACAGATGTTTCTTTTGGCTTACTGCAAACTATTTTACAGAATAGTGTAGGGTCTGATTTACCACTGATTTTTCACAAATGTCTTGTTTGTAAACAATATTCCAGCCGAAATAGAAGTTTTTGACTGATAAGACTAAAAAGATAAAGGAGATAAGACGCCTAACTAATTAGATTTTGCCCAACAGTTGTGTTTTTCCTATTGTTTAGTAAATAATATTTGCCAACTTACAAAGTATGAAAAGCTACATACTTGAAGCAGAAGAAAGCCACCACCTACTGCAGTTGCTGCAAGCTTTCCAACTTTCTGGAACAAAAATCCCGCACACCTTAGGAGAACAAAACAGAAAACAAACAAAACAACGAGTCTAATAAAGTTGTCTGCTGAACAATGCCATACTCCAGTATTAACAACAACAACTATTACTATTTTGATATTTAACATAGCAAATATATCATTTCACATCTCTGAATTTTAAAATCAGAACATTTAATAAAAACAATTTTTAATTAATAATGTCTAACGCAAGACAATGTCAGTAACGGTTGCTACTTCAGGGCTGTCTTATGGGCCCTTTAAAGTTAGCTTGAGATCTCCGGATGTTGTCTTTACACAGAAGCTATATGCTCCTACTAAACATAGTGTGTTATTAAAGCACAGCGTAATAATATAAAAGTGTCACTGTAACCATTTCCAAATGAAAGGTAAATATATTATACCGTCATTTATATTAACTACACAATCCATAACTTAAATATCTTAGGTAAAAAGAAGTTACAACCCTTCCACAAGAGTTAAAATCAGCGGGGGCCCTCTACTGGGACATGGCCTTAGTCCATTTTTAATGAATCAAGGCAAGAAGAAAATTAATTATCTTGTTCGCAGTCTCCAAACACTTCCACATCAAATAGAGAACAGCACAGACATCAATACCATGGAATAGTTTGGGCAGGAAAGGACCTCTGGAGGTCATCTAATCCAGCTGCCTTCCCAAAACTGGGCCAGCTGCAAAGTCCAACCTCAAACTAAATCAGGTTGATCAGGATTCCTGATTGAACTCGGGAAAGTGATGGACGTTTTCAAGGATGATGGTTCCATGACTTCTATAGACAACTCTGCTAGCATCTGACCCATGCCCAACACCAGCCCACACAAAGGGGGGAATATTTTCCCCCCTACATATGCGTAGTGAATTCATATTTATATACATGAATACATACAGAGGTATATGTATCTACAGATGCTGAAATACACAGTTTCCAGATCCATATGTATCTACAGATGCTGAAATACACAGTTTCCAGATCCTTCAATAAGCCAGTTTTTATGGATTTTCTAGAAGCTTCAGAGTTTATGTATACACATCTAACTTAAAAAATAATTTTAATGCAACAGAAGCAAATAAAAAAAAAAAAGGAAAAAAATCAGCCTGAAAGCTAAGCCTACATGCCTCAAAGCTGCTTTGAGCCTGGCCATGAAAATTTAATTTTTAGTTTCATCTTCCAAATCTTGCATAATTCTGTTCTAAAAGTCACCATGCTCCCATAATGTTGCTTTTCACCAAACTTATTTTTTAAGAGTGCTAGAATAGACCAGTACCATTCAAATACCTTTGACAAATAACAAATACCTTGACATAGCTACTAAGGCTGTGACCACATTTCCCAGTTTAAGTTCTCATCTTTACTGTCTGGCTTTCACCATGAGTTAGTTTAGCATAACTATACTGTGGTATCTCTCTTCAGTTAAATGAGAGCAGCAGACTGTTAATTTGTTCAAAATGGCTCCAGCTGAATTTAGAGAGGAAAAAAAAACTCTATGAAATGGGGCCTTTAAACAAACTATATTCACCCACACTTTTTTCCTTCTTCCTTAGTTTTCTACCTATAAAATACGTCTTAGCCATAATATCGTAACTAGGTTTCTAAATCTATGCTAGTAAGGAAATAAGCTTTTCCATACAAACAAAAGCTAAATGCAGTAATTTTCCATTTATTTCTTGTACTTTCAGAGCTCTGACATTTCCCCAAATCCCTTTCGCAGTAACTGGTAGGTGTTCCCTTAGATAACTGGCATTTTACCAATACTACAAAAACATTTTAGAATGATGAGTCAGAGTAACCAGTTAAGAAATTGTTCACACATGAATAATCTTGATCAATGATAAAGGAAATCCCATTAGAGATGATAAATACACATATGCTTCAAATAGCCTTGGAAATGATCTTCTAACACAGTAAAAGGTCTGGGACAGTTATGAAAAGTGATGCTGCCTTACCAGCCAGTCACACCGCCCATGACAATCTGGGTAGCTACAGAGTATTTTTCTACAATCGGTCCTGAATTCCGGCCAAACACACGATTCCACCAATGGTGACGCCGCGCATACTCTGTTAAATCCAACACTTCATAAGAATCGTCATCACTGTCATGTTCTAAAGAAAAAAAGAAAAGTTGTTTTTCTCCATTACAGAGTAAATTAACAAACTATGTAAAGCCCCCAGACATCAACAGAACTGGTTTTGGTATTAAGTGGTCAAAGGTGAAAAAATTAACAGGAATCTCCTCCCTGTTCAAGTACAGGAGCTAAAAGGTATCAATGAAACTACCAGGTAGCCTGTTCAAGGTTAAGAAAAGGAAGTCTTCCTCTCCTTTAACCCCAACCCTCCAGAAGCCCTGGTTAACCTGTGGAACAGCTTACTGCAGGATGCTGTAGATACGAAAAGCTGATATGGACTCCAAATAACAACAGAAAATATTAAAGGAGGGGAAAAAAAAAAAACAAAACAAAGGAAAGGTACAGCAAGGGCTGTCAGACACAAAAGGCAACTGCCATAGTTAATGAAGTCCTAGGCTGAAAATCACTGAAAACATTCTGAGAAAGTATCAGTACATGCTTACCCTACATTTCTTAGCTCATCCGTGGTTTAATGTGTGGTGTTCCTGCCTATGACAGAGGGGCTGGAACTAGATGATCTTAAGGTCCTTTCCAGCCCTAACTATTCTAAGATTCTATCCTGCAGCTGATGGCCTTCAGGCACAGAATGCAGGGCTTTCATCTGACCTACTACAACTGCTTTGATGATCTTTAGCAATATGAAACATGTCTAACTTAAGAGAAAGTACACACATCTCTTCTGGCTAGACCTAAACCTTGAGACACTGAAAACTTCTGGCCTAGTGTTTTCTTCAGAGGGCCAAAACTTAGCATACACTAATAAGCCAAAAAACAGTCTGTTCTGTTCCTTTTCCATAATAAGTGAAATAGATGAAGCTGGGACTTCTACTGAGTTCCATATATGCAGTACAATTCTGTCAACACTTTCAAAACAGGCATCCTAAAACTTCAAATTAGAAATTCAAAACACCATGTGTACTCAAACATCAAATGGAAGAGATGGTTTTAAATTTCTCAATGAAAAATGTATTAAATCACAGTTCTATGGATATGTATGCTTGAATTAAAATCTATGTTGGTTAAACATATATAAGGTGGAATACAAGTTCAGCAATGATGCTGGGACACTCCAGCGAGGAAGAGAAATTAAATTACTACCTACAATTATAAAGTAAGAATGTAGATATAAACATTTTATTAATTATTTCAGCACCTAAGCATCCCTGAGTACTAGAACATAAAAAGCAAGTCCCACAATGCTAAAAAGCTGTTCCCGAGTGTTCTTTCATTCCAACTTAGAGGTAATGGCAGCAAACGCTTTATGTTCTCCTTTAAATGGAGAACATAAAAACACTGTCATAGACTATTAGCTAATGGTGCCCGTAAATTAGTTTTATTCAACTCAAAACTCAAGTATAACATGTTGTGTGGAAAAGGTTTATATTATATATTAAGAAGAAATTCTTCACTATGAGGGTGGTGAGACACTGGAACAGACTGCCCAGAGAAGCTGTGGCTGCCCCATTCCTGGCAGTGTTCAAGGCCAGGGTGGATGGGGCTTTGAGCAACCTGGTTCAGTGGAAAGCGTCCCTGCCCATGGCTGGGGGGCTTGGAACTGGATGATCCAAACCATTCTGTGACTCACATAACTCTCAACTGATGGAAAAGATCCCGTTCCTTAGAGGCCAATATTACGCACACTCTCCAAGCACACGAAGCTGTGCCTGCGCAGAGCGGCGTTACACGGCAAGGCCATACCAAATACTCCTAAAGAGCTGCACGTTATAAGTCGAGGAGCTGACAGAGGCCACGGACACCACTCCGAGGCTCCCCAGCGGACCCCGTAGGTTCTGCAGCCACCGGGATCCCCTGTGGGGTTCCCGTGAAGCCCGGGAGGGGTCTGAGGAGACCAGCGGGGTGACACGGAAACGGGGCCACCAGCACCGACGCGGCATCCATTCGATCCCGGCCGGGGACGACCCAAAGGCGGCCTCCCCCACCGGCCGCAGGAGAGACGTAAGGGGGAGGAGCAGAGCCCGGGCCATCCCTCCCCCGCCCCCGAGGGCCGGCACCGGCAGGGGACCGGGCTGCCCCCTCCTCCTACCCCCCTTTCCCGTAAGGGGACGGGACGAGACGCGTCCCTGCGGACGCGCCCGAGCCCTTGGGGAGCTCACTGACCTGCGGCGGAGCGAGGCCTCCGCGCCGCCATGTTGGCCGGTGTTGACAGGGGAGCCGGGCCTGGAGCCGCCTCGCTCCGCCCCCAGAAGGCACTCTGCGCTACCGGCCGATGCGCGGCTCTATGCTCTCCCCGCGCCGCGGAGGCCCCGCCCTCTCTGCGGCGCGGGGACGCAGGGCGCAGGCGCTCTCTGCTCCTCTCCTCCATCATCCTCGCCCAGCGAGAGCGTGGGGAGCGCTCTGGGACACCCCCACGAGGCGGCGGGTGACGTCACAGGCAGCGCGGGTCCCCCGGTGCCGCGGGGCACTGTGGGAGCTGTAGTTCTCAGGGCGGGGGGAGGGGGGGAGGTAAGGTGGGCGGCCATTTTGGCGGGGGCATCTTGCCGCCCTCCCCTCACGGGCTCGGTGAGTGCGGTCAGCGCCTCAGCGCCCGGCGGTCGTTCTCTTGGCTCTGAGGGGTTGGAGGCCTGAGGCATGCCTTGCTTGCCCAGTCACTGTGGCAGTGGTGGCCCTGGGGCTTAGCAGCCTCGGGCTTTTTGCATGTGCAGTATAAGACTTCTTCACCCTGGTGATGTGTATAAAGTCCTCAAAGAGGCTCAGAACAACTCATGCTGTGGATGAGAAGGGGTGTCATGGCTGGACAACGAACTGCGTGCCACTGTAGCGTACCACACACGGTGAAGACATTGAAAAACAAGCATCGCAGTGTCGTGGGTATTCCATGTCCCATAAAAACTAATAACCAGATGAAAAAGTGTGAGGCCCCTCAAAGAACCAGGTTAATGTAAATGTAAACTGTGAAACATTTAGAAAGATGAAATTTGGAATTGCCCAACCCCAGTTTACTCCTTCCCTCAATGCCACAGTTGGGCTTTGGTAGGCTAAGAGCCACACAGCTGTATTTTACAGCTTTCATTTTGTTTTTATTGTGTGCAGCTCCATACAGCCTTTGTAGCCATAATACAGAGGTAACTGATGCAGTAAGTACAGCTTCAGAAATGTTGTGGCAATATGAACATCAAGAAAAACTGTTCAATTATCGTAAATAATAAAAGAAAATTGGAAACGGATTGTTTTAACACGTTTAAAATCTCTCATTTGAACTCTTCTGCTGCAAATACACAAGACAGGCAATTACACTGAAAAAATCCTACTTTTTCCCATGTCATAAAGCTGTTTTTATGGAGTGAGGTGTATCTTGCTACATGCGAACTATGCATTTAGGATTCTAATTAACCCCTTAATCACACCAACCTTAAGAGACATGCAAAAAAAAAAAAATGTTCTACATGAAGGTACTTCTTAAATCAGCTCTGAGATTGAAGTTAGCCTATAAGATCTGAAGTTAGCATATAAAATAGTGACTTGCTTGTTGACTGATTTTTATTACAAGCATTTGCAGGTGATAGCATGCCAGAAAAAAAACTTGGTAATATATTATTTTTCTTAAGATTTTCAATGAATTGAACACACTTTTGTTTCTTACAACTTGTTCTGACCAACACCTAAAATCTCTGGACTTTTCATGTTTAAGCATAAATGATTCTTTTCATTCATTTCCCAACCAATAACAAAAAGCTCGTTGACTTTTATTGCTAAATGAATTACAATCGTTTTTCTCGCACTAGCAGTTTGTTAAAAAAAATAGAGTCTGGAGTGTGTTATCCAGTCCTTACAATGAACAGTGGAAGGAAGCACACTCGCAAAACTATTAACAGCTGCTTTGCTGGCTTCCTTCATGATGCCAAGTCTGAACAAAGGCAGCCTAGCTAACTCATCACTGGTATCTCTAGAAAAGGTTTCTGTTATCTAGATATTTTGTGGTCTTCCTGGTTGTTGTTATTCTGGGTTTATACCTGAGCATACACATGCACGATACTTGCTGTACCCTGAAGTGGGTTGCATGGCTGGCTTTCAGTGGCTCCATTTTTTTCTCTTGGGGAGATCCCAGAACATAATTTTTTACTTCTGTTTAGTCTTCTGTCTGAGCAGCCTTTAATTTCTCTTGTTCATTGTGTAGGTGAGGCTGCAGAGAGAGAATACAGAGAAAGGATTTTCTGGATTGTCAATATAGCCACCTGATCTCACATTATCTCAGTCAGGGCTTTGAAATTTCTTATCCCATGCCTGACAGAGACAGTTTTAAGTCTGTGCAAGATTTCCAAGTCAGATGCCACTAAGGTAAGGGAGGCAACTAGAAAGTTGTGCTTGGATTGTATGAGCCTGCTGGCTGAGATATTTTCTACTTTCTGTTGCCCAAATCCTTAATTTTTGGTTTCACTATTTTTAACTGATCATGCAGCAGCACTTCTCAGATGACTTTCCTCATGTCTGTACAGGCAATTACATTAATTTCCCTTCAGAGTGGAGAGCTATCATCAATACTTTTTGACAATTAATATTAGAAACTGCATTATATTCTACATACAACTTCTGTTTGCATCAACTTAGCTATTAAAACTAGCAAATGGCGGTGTGCTTGTTGAATTGAGTTTGTCTTAAAATACGTAGGTGCGCACTGACAAAATGCTGGGTACTGAATTTGGTCCGAAGCTCAAGTGTTGTCTTGTGACCCATCTGTTAGGTTGTTTCTGCATCTCACATGGAATTGTCAGTCCAGCTTCAACTCCAAACTTAATGCCACTGTCTTGAGGTCCCTCTGATCTTGGGGCTCACTCTCCTTAGTGGTACAAATGGCCATGTCTGCACCCTTCTGCCAGATATACCCCATGGTGCTGTACCCTCAGGATACCCACACACCTCACCAAGTGCATTCACACATCACCTGGTCCACAAGCCTTTACAGCATTTTTGACAAGACTGGCCTTGCACTTGTTTTGGATCCCACCTGCAAATACACCAGGCAGCCTTGCCTCCTTTTGCACCCAGCTTGCAGAGTCACGGCAGCATGACAAGCTGAAAAGAAGGATTTTGGGAAAAAGCCAGAGAAAGACCTTTTGGCAGGTTGTGGGACACTGGTATCTCTCTTCTGGGATCAGGATGCTCCCAATTCCTAACACAAAAGACATTTCCCAACAGAAATTTGGGAAAATGTCTTTTGTACACAGTACCAATTGTGTACAATGCAGTAGGTCTCTAGCAACCATAGCCATTGTAGTTAGCCTAGCCACCTCTTCAGCAGCTTCTGGGTGGCTGCTAAAGTGCCTTACAGCTGCATGGGGTCTGCAAACACTGCCTATGGGATTGGCTTGATGCCAGCACAGAAAATGCCATCAGGATTGCTTTCTTCCTGCAAACTTCACAACCTGTGCAGAGACAGCAAACTTAGGGACTCCAGAGATCCAGACTATCTTGGAGAGCTTTTGACCAGTCCCACTGGTATAATGGTATAATGGGTATAGAATCCCCCAAACCCATTCAGACTAAGTGCACATAGGCGCTTTTGTTAAGCTATCCAGAGGGACAAATTTTTCAAGGAAAGGTAAGCAATTTAAACTGAGGCCACATTTTTGCGTCATTCCTAAAGGCTCTTTATAAACAAAATGACTGCACAGAAAGATTGCTCTCTTCACTCTGTAAGCCCTAGCTACAAGTTCAGACTATGCATCCACCATCTGACCACGTACCTGTGACAAGCAAGTTCACTGCTACGGCTTGCAAGAGAACATACATGGCATACTTACCTTACAAACACTAAATAACCCAACTCGATAAGCAATCTAAAAAAGAAAAAAGCAGCAGAGAGCCCCCTAAACTTCAAACGCCTGCGTGACTCCAGTGGTAACAGCTCCTTTGTGCTTCTGACCAGATTTCCAAGCTAGGACACACATGCTTGCATTTTTAACTGTCTTGTGTGGTTAATTATAAAACCTAAAGGCAACACACGCTGCAGGGCATCTACAGTAGGTCATATGTGAGTGAAAGTTACATTATCAGCAGATTAAACCTAGAAAGTACTGTTTGAATAACCTGGCTATAAACATATTGGATGTAGTGGATGATTGCTTTTCAAAAACTGGACTGGATATGCCATTATTCAAAGCTCAATAGGCTGGAAAATGGTAGAGAAAAGTCTTCTCAGGCACAGGAAGGGATTTATTAGTTTCCTGGGTTAGCTAACAAGAGTTTAAATGGTCCCTTGCTGAAGGATTAAACTAATAGTTACAAAAAGAAAAACGTTATATTTAGTGTGCCGTGAGAGGTTTTTAAACAGGTAAGAACCAAAGACTTCACCCAAGCAAGATGCCCTTGGATCCACAGCACCTGCATTTTACTTACAAAAGAAACCCAATGGGTAGTGTCAGGTCAGGCTGTGCCAGGACACATTCCCATCAGCCTAGCCTGGAAAAGTAAGGAAATAAAATATTAAGGCAGGAGACTGATCTTTCCTTTTCATTTTATTTACAACATTGTTAATAATGCAAGCCGATTATCCATTAGTCTTCTGATCTCACCTCTGATCTGTTGTTAGACTTGGAGTGCAGCACAGAGCTTTGGCCATGACCTCATGCTATTGTATAAATCCCATCAAGGTGTTTGGATGGACTGTATGCCATGCATGGGGCAAGCACTGAGAGGGGAGCTAGGCTCTGCAGTAGTATGCGTCTGGTGAAGTTGAGCTCGTTGTTTTAGGATCTCTCCAGGAGGTAGCTAATACTTAAGCAGTGGGAGCAGACTGTAGAAGGAGATGACTACTGTGACTCACAAAGGTTAATCTTTCTCAGTCAAAATGCTTAAGAAAGACTGGAGTGTTGAGCTAAATCTGAGGCTTCTTGTGATTACCTAGGGAGAGAAGGGTGGGGAGGGGAACTGAGAGTCTTAAAAAAGCAGAAAGTCTTGCAAGGCATTGGAAGGTTCTTTTTCATGTGATAGGTCTCAACGAGATGCAGCTCTTGTCATATTCTTGTTAAAAATTTTTCTCATGTTTATGCAAATTGTCTTTTTGAGGGTTTTGTGTGTTTTTCAGGATCCTGCAAAGTTTGTGTTCTTAATTTGTAGTCCTATTGTGAGAAAAAAGAAAATAAAAGTTTTTTAGCTTTTTGGAGGTAACCTTTTGTCTACTGTATATCCATAGTATAAAATTTCAAAGAGTACTGATTGTAGTAGTGTGTTATTTTACAGAAATTATTTAAACAGCACTTAACCATAATCTTCAATATTTTAACTTATTTTAAGAGACAAATATCCAATTCCCTTATTATATCTTGTAGATATTCTGGAGTTCCCTGCCACTGTTCCCTGTTCAGACAAGCCTCAAGTACTCGGACAAAGTAATGGAGAGAGCGAAAACATGGACTGACAGAGGACCTTCTGGCAGTCTGTTTTGCAAAGGAAGTGTAAGTAATTACTTTTTTAGAGAAGCTATGAGGATGAATCAACCATACATACTGCTTCCACAGTTAACAGATGCTCCTGTTAGGTTTCTGTAGTGCAGAAGTCAGAGAAGAATAAAACTTTTGCACAGCTAACAGTAATAGGATAATAACTGGGCAGGACAGATCTAGAAATTGTCCACACTGAAAAAGTTGAGGACCCTCCAGAAATGCCTAAAGAAGTGCCCAATGCTCCAAAGAGTCCAAAGAGTTTCAGGCTTTTCTTTCTGTGAAGCCCCATGCAAAGAAAAGGTTAAAAATGCTAAACTGAAGGGAAATGTAGTAATAATGTTTTTCATTTTCTTGCAAGAAATGAAAAACAATATAGAACTGTAATGAATAAACACTAGACAGTATACAAAGAGAAAAGATAATTCATGTGAGTCATCACTGCTAGCAAGGAAAAACCCTCAGTCAGATACTGCTCTGCTCATTGACTGAGACACCTGGCTGCTCTCAGCTCACCTCAAGCTCATGAAGAGCCCTCCTACAGCTCCTCTGCTTCTGAGTTTTAGCTGAAATAAAACTAAATACATTTCCCTCCAGACAACTGAAAACATGCCAGCACAGTCAAACATGAGACTCACGGAGCACGGGGCTGCTGCCAACTGCCCTGCTCCCTGTGGCTGTATCCCCTTCCTAGATGCAGATCTCAAAATAACATTTCTCTGGCCAAAGGACTGGCTTATGTGGGCGGCCCTTAGATTAGGAGAACTGGATTTGTTTTTCAAGGGTAGTTTTCCCTCAAAGACTGAGGCCCCTGGCAACAAGGGAGACAGACCTGAAAGTCAGAGAGGCATTCCATGTTGCACTTTTATGGAGTAATGGTACTTCATCACCAGAACTTCTTCCTGACTTCACAACAGCAATGTAAAAAATTTAATTTCTTTATAACAAAGTCTTGAGAAAATCCCCAGAGGATCAGACTGTTGTTCGGTTACCTGTTAAAGCTCAGTAATAAAGACATTAGACTATATCACAGCATGGTTTCCAGTAGCACTGTTGTTTTTTCCAGTTTTTAAATACTCAAATCTTGATTTCTGATAAAACAGTAACACAGTTTGACAAAAACTGAAAGCTGCCATTGCCTCTGATGAAACTGTTCACAGACAGATAACATTCACCTTTTCCTCTGGTTTTCATTAACATTTGTTTCTGTGGAAATATTCCACCCACCCTGACTCATCACCACTGATAGTCTCCAGCATTTATGGTCTCTCCAAGGCCTTGACAATGATTTTTCCAGAGAGCTAAACTCCCCTGAGGAAGACCAAACACTACTATGCAGAGCTTTCAGCACATGGCAGGACAGAGGCAGTGCCATCTGTTGAAGCTGTTTGGGACATAATTCTGAGCTAAACATCTGTAGCAGCAGCAATCCTGAATCTGAACTTGAAAATGGTAGGGGTAGGTATTAGAGGAGGAAACCTAGTTTCTCTTTTTGTTGTTGACTCATTGCATTGACAATGAGCAAGACACTCTGGCTCTATCTACAGAAGTTTTTGTTGTTATATATTTGCTGGTGCAGTTACAAGTCCTACAGGCTGCAGCAACTGTGAGAGTGTGGTTGAAGGGGCTCTGGTTCAGGCATCAGTGTTTTAACGCTGTTCTCATTCAGTCTCATCTAGAGTTACTCAGAGGAGGAGGAGGAGTGTGGGAGATCTGCTTGGTCCACTTTCCAGCTGGGATCAAAACTAGCACGTAGAGTTTTCTAATCTCTTCTTACAGCCACAAAACACATACTTGCTCAGAAGAGGTCAAGCAAAACCAACAGACGTACAGGCAGACAGGATTGCTTCTTGGATGAATCTACTTAAGTTCCCCTTCTAACTTCTGTTTCATACTGAAGGCGCGCTCTGCATATCTGTCAGATGGCAAACCCCATTTTGAATGTGGAGCTTGTTTGCTCTCTTGTGCACTGAGGTTTGGCTGAAGTTGTCACAGGGAGTTGTGTGGAAGGTGCACTGGCTGCTGCTGGCAGCTGATGTGTACCTCAGTGCTCAGCCCCAGGGAGCCATATGTGTGCTGCATGGACACAGGTCATGCAGGAGAACTGGGCTGTATGTTGCCTGGCAGAGGAAGAGGTTTTGGAGATTCAGCTGCTGGGCACCGTGTCCAGCATATGTGTGAAAAGGGACAGTAAGCCGAGACAGACATTGTGACCCAAAGAAGGGTAGTCCTTCCAGACTCTGGAAAAAAATGATTAATACCTGAATAAAATGAATAAAGGTGCACAAAAGTGGGGAGAAAATTGAAGTTATGAAAATGTAGAGGCCTTATGTATGTGTGTGTGCATGTACAATTCTGTAAGTTATGTAAGGTAAGATTAGGAGTGTCCATTTACCTCAACTTCCACATTTCTAAAGATGTGGATGCTTTCAGGACTGCCCCAGGACCAGTGTGGATCCTGGAAAGTGTGGATGCTTATGTTGCCAGGATATTTGTGTGTTGGCGTTAAGCTCCCAAGGCCTTAACAGGTGTGCTCTGGGACTCCACTTCTCTGAAGGGATACTGACTCATCAGTACATACCACAGAACTACACCAAGCTGGCTGGAAACACAGAAAGCTGACAGGGGTCTGTGCATCTCAAAATAGTTAACACCCATGTAGTCAACCACGCAGCAGCATCTACCAGAGGGAAGTACAGCAGGGATGCACATTACCCACCAGCTTTTGTCCAGCAGGGACTTCACCCTGGAATTACTGGGAGGGTGGTGAAACCAGGCAGGATGTTCTGATAATGATCATCAGTGTATATGTACTTTATCTCTTTCTTCCTTTTTCATGACATATCAGCACAGTTAAAAAGTAAACTAGTGAGCAGATCAAAAAGCTGGGCATTAGCAGATATTCAATTTTAATTCAAATATTTTTGAAATGCAACTTCACGGCATATTATCTACAAATTTTGCTTTACAGTGTTTGGTGGTATTTATGTTTTTGCTTATTTGTATTTTGCATATCTTATGTGTATTCTATACCCCATAGGCAGTTCCTGAATTCAATTTAGATACTTATTTTTAGTCCTGATTGATCAGGACCAGTAAGTAATCTTCAGAAAATTTGTTTGTTCGGTTTGTTCCTGTCTTCTTCCTAAATCTGTTTGATGAGTGGGTGATTTGTTTGTGCTGTCGTTACAAAAAACATATGTTGATGTAGTCTTATGGAGGAGTGTTTTTATTATTTTAAGAGTTCGGTTAGGGATGCTTCCAAAGGAGTCATAATTGCTCTTCTAAGTACAAAGGCTGAACAATGACTGGCTTACAAATAATGCCAAAAATCTGTTCAGCTCAGTCTAATTATTTCAAAGACTAAAATCTGTTTCTCAGAAATGTCTTCCTTCCAAAGTCTGAACTTTCCAACATACTAAGAAAGTTCTGTTTACTTGAGTTCTCTATGGGTTTATAGTCCAAGTGCCTGGAACAAGGGAAAGTATCGACTCTTTTGTGTATATGTCAATGTATGCAAAAACTTTAAGGCTGCCCATGTCTTCATGTGAAATGCGTTGTGCCACAGTATAACCGAGGACAGATCCTGCAAGGATTTGGGGCATAGGTAGGTTTCCTGGGTGAGCAGGCTGAGGAAAGCGTAACACATGGCTGAATATCCTTGTGGGGTGTGCAGGAACCAGATCAATGTGCTTTTTTTTTTGTGTAGGATACTTGTGACCTCCATGAATAAAGGAGCCGGCACAGTTTTAAGCAGGCGATGATTTTCACTTTTGGGCCATTTAGCTCCTATCCATTAGGAGAGTAGGACCAAACTCCTAGCTGCCAAGCCGGTGGAACACCTACTTTACAACACTGGGTGAAAACAGTTGGCAGTAAGTCAATGTCTAGTGCTTTTACTCTGCTGACATGAGCTAAGACCCCATGCAGACTACCGGTGCTGGGGGGCATTGGTTGTCCTTTCCATGGTCATGGTCAAAACTGGAGGGAATTTTTTGCCAAGGGACTGGCAAAAATGGCTGGTCAGCACTCCTGGAAATACTTCTTTAGGCTGTTGGCATCACAGGTGAGCAACAGATAGCTGCTGAAACTAGGGTTTGATATAAATCATAGAATCACAGAATAGTGTGGGTTGGAAGGCACCTTCAAAGGTCATCTAGTCCAACTCCCCTGCAGTGAACAGGGACATCTTGAACTAGATCAGGCTGCCCAGAACCACATCCAGCCTGTCCTTGAATGTCTCCAGGGATAGCGCATCTACCACCTCTCTGGGCAACCTCGATGATACCAATTTACTCCATAACTATGAGACACTCGTTGAATATGTGTGATGAGCCTAATAGTGGCAAAATTGCTCCCTATATTGGTTGGTCTCTAAAGGACTTGGTAAATACTATACTGGCAAACTGAGAATTGCTGAAAATGCCTCAGTGCCCAGTAAAAGCTATGGTAGAAATTCAACTATTTATTTTATACATAAAGTACTAGATAGGGACTATTATTCAGTGCTGCAGAAGTAAAGAAAATGAAAAGAGGAAAACAGCTGTGCAGCTGGCCAAGACCTTGAAAAGGACAGACTCGTCACAATCATATTCAGAAAAAAAACAGTTTCAAACCTCCCTGCTGCAAAACCTCCTACACAACCCTTGCAGAGAGCCTTTGAGAGGAGAACTATAAACAAAGGAGTGCAATAACACGGCAACATTTTGTGAGCCGCAATGTGGAAAATAAATGCCACACATTTATAGGTGTATGTCAGCCAAAATAAGTTTCAGATGAAGCTTTGTTGTGGGTTGTGATAACAAATGAATAGAAGGGGGAAAGTAGAAAATACCAATTCTGCAGTGAGAGACAATGTGTCAAACTAAGTGTCACACTAATGGACTTTGAAAACAAATGCATATATAGAGTTTAAATGCTATATAAACCATATATATATTATATAAATGCCATTAGGCTATAAACATTACATGAAACATATGCACATGTTTTGTGTGCCTATGTATATATAAATA